TGGCTTTTTCCACTTTGTTGTGGATTGATTTTCTTTCAAAATACCCAATGCTCTTTCCTCTTTTTTGAATCTCAGAACGTGGTACTTGTCTGCACCATGCAATCTCTGTTCACACAAAGGAGAAAAGATATTTTAACTTGAAGTAATATGCATCATTATCTATAACGTGCCATGTAAATATATTTTATTAATATCTTCCTAATTGTATGAACTCCTTTGTTCAGATGTCAAAATTAGAAAATCACTCATGTCTCTTTAAAATCAAGTGTAAAAAGGAACCTTAACCTTTGACAAGCTAATGATACCCTATAATGTGCCTAGATGAAAGCAAACACATAGAGAACGTGTTATCTCCTTTGACCCTGTGGGCATTTGCCCAGGTGATCAAATTTTCTCAGCACGGATTTTTCTGATATTTAGTTATGGTCTATATTTAGAAGCTTCAAGACTCTGAAATTAGGACACTTATTTGTTTCACAAAAGAAATTTATCTTAACATGTAGTGCTTTAGTTTCTAGAGTAAACTAATGTTGAGTTTCAGCATACTTACACACACTCAATGACTATAGAGTCCTGTGGAGCCTTTAGCATGTCCATCTCAGAAGCCCTTCCTGCTCCGAAATCTTAGTGGTGACTTTAATGTGAAATGGCTATAGTGATTGCAATAGCTTTTGTGTTTGAATTTTTACTATCATGCAGTTAGAAACTCGCTGTTTCCTGTCACAGTCTGCACTCATCAAACTATGAACATAACAGTTTCCTGTTTTCTTATTAACTATAAGCATTTTGAGCCATATTCTTTGCTGGTTATATATCTTACCACTTTCCTTTGCCAATTGCCCAATGGTTGGAGTTTCCATGCTTACAGAGAAATTCTGAATTCTGATTTCTTTATTGCTAATTCAAGGCTAAAGTTTTTCTAATTTTTGAAGTGGTAAGTATATTCAGTGTCATAAGTGCGATTTATGTACATTCTACATGGTCTTACTTTCCTTTACTCTGTTTCTTAATGCATAACGTGGTGAAGGCGTCCACATCAGGTAAGAACCAGTACCTTCGGTCTCCAGTTAGTGCTCACCTGACTACTTACCGATATTTGCATCAGTAAATAAAAAGTGTAAAAGTGAGTGAGTGGATGTGGTCAGGGCCATTTCAGAGTCCTACCAGCTTTTTAGTGTAGCTCCTGAACATTGTGTCTGTCTTTATTGAATCAGAATGCTGAATTACTCAAAGCTGATTTTAAAATCATCTCTGCAGTCTAAGGAATAAAGATAGAGATAGAAATATATGTTCAACAACCATTACTCCATTTTTCTGGAGTTGCTCCACCCTCAGACCTATCTATAAATATGTTCTCAATCATGCACAAGGCCCTAGGTTCAATCCCCAGGAGCTAAATGAGTAAATGTAGCTTTTTATTTTTTGTTTGAGGTAGGGTCTCACTCTATTGCTCAGGCTGGGATTACAGGCCTGCGCCACTGCTCTTGGCTAATAAGTGGGTTTTATTTGTTATTTTGTTAGTTGGGTTGCATGTGAGCAGTAGCTTTCCTGGTTGGTCTTATTTAGCACTGTCAAAGATCAAATTACAAGTCAGTTTTGAAGCATATTTGAATATTTAGGGCTTAATTTCACTTAGGAATTTCACTATTAAGGAATTTTTGTTTCTTGGTGTCATAAGGATATTTGTGTTATATTTATCCAAGAATTAATAAAGACAGTGAGCCTCCAAATAGTTTGCTTAAACTCTGTGTACTTTTCAAGACACATAGTGCCAGATGTCGTGATCCAGCCTGTGAATCTCAGCACTTGGTTGGCAAAGGCAGGAAGGTCATGAGTTCAAGACCACCTGAGAAACACAGTAGTGTTTATCAATTGTTTTTATCCTCTGATTGTCCCAAAAGACTATCTGGTAAGACCAGAAACACAAAGGGAACACATTGCCCAGAGCAGCAGTGTGTCACTTGGACATTCGTTCCCAAGCCCGGCCTGAGTCTCCAAAGGAGACAACTAAAGGAAACAGCTGGTTAAGTAAAATGCTCCTGAGGTCCACCTCCAGGGGGTGGGAAGCTCACAACAACCTGCCTGGGCAATGCAAGATGGCGCCTACTGAGTTGTCAGCCAAGACAAGGCAGACTCAAATTGTTTGGAAGCATGAAAATCCTGACATTGAGTTTCTTCTCAGCCAGATCAGCTTCTCGTTGGCTCAGCCCCATTGGGTGTGAGCTGAAGGTCTGCCACAGTGGCATGCATTTTCATTCATTATCCTGTCACTCAGGATGGAACCCAAGGCTTCCTGTGTAGTAGACAAGCGTCCTGCCTCTGAACTACACCGCCAGAACTCAGCAGACATTCTCACACTTTGAATATATCAGGCTCTCCTGAGACATTTACAAGGAAAATACAGATCTCAGTTCCTTAGATGGGAGGGGTCTCTGTTTCTAACAAACACTAAAGATCATTTTCTTGGGAAGAGTGATGTGCTGTTAAGTATAGTTAACTTCTGAGAATCTGATAAAGAGGGTCACAAATACTGTGTTTACAACAGAAGACCAGGGCCTCTGTGCTGCAGGAGGCCTAGTGTTGGCCTTCTACCCAAGCCCCTAGACATGATGAAGCCTTCCAGGGATTTGTGTATACTCAGCCCTTTCAAAATCATACTCAGTACCCCGAAATTCCCTGCCCAGGTGCTCACTTACAGTCCCCACCTAGCTCTTCCTCATAACCCAGTGTGCCCGTTTCTTAGTCCAAGAGAGAGGTAAGGAGTAGCTTCAGTCTCATAACGTTGTCCCGTACCTTTCTTTGTTTCTTTACGTAAACAAAAAATTCCTTTGCTTCATTATGTCAGCAGTTCTCAAGAGGCATTAGGCATCACCTTTGATTAATTTTCTGTAGTTACATCATCTGATAAAGGGCTACAACATGTTAATTATAATACATTTTGTTAGAGCAAAGGAAAACCATAGCTTTCCAAATAATTGAGAAGTTGTGGTTCTGCCGTGCCCTACCTCTGTAACAGCGGGGAAGAAGGAAGCCATGTGCTCCATAGTATTTCCTCAGAAGGATCTGGGGAAGAAAAGAGAAAGGAAGAGATTAACTGAACTGAACTCAACACTCAGAGCTATAAATCATGTGTTGCAATATGATGATGGGATGTTGCATCAGAGCATGGCGGTTGTCATAAAGCTCTGGGCTGCACACTCGAGAAGTAGCTGTGGTGGTCTGCACCTTTTTGCTGAAGATTAGGTGCTGAGTTTAAGTTCCCTCTGTTATGCCAAGGGGCAACATGTTACTTTAGTTTCCTTGTCCCCTGTATGATTTTCTTCTCTCGCTGTAGGGCAGGGACAGTTCTTTATAGCTGAAAGAATGCCTGGGCCAGGCAGTCGCGGCACTGAACCCAGCCTCCCTTGTTCCTGTCGTTACATGCAAGCAGGGAATTGCTAACGTGTCTTCACTTCTTGGAAGTCTTGTCAGGAAAGCTGGGAGGCAGCGTGGCAAGGCTGTAATGGCTTTCCTCTCAGAACCGTTAGTTTTGAAAGTGTTTGTAACATTTCCTGCCTATTTCGCATTGCCTTTATCTCAAGATTTGAAAGATAGTGACTAGGAGTTTGTCACGGAGAAGAAGGATAAAGGTTGGTAGGAGAGATGAGGGTAGGGACGTGAAGTGTATGTCAGCATGCCCTTTAATCCTCAAGATATTTGGTGGCTAATTAGTTGTTTTTTTCTGTTCTTAATTCTGCTTTTTTATAGGGAAAAAATGACAGGATGTACAGGACAAAAGTCAAAATTAACTTTATATTTGCAGCATAAATTCTCAAGGGCAGGACTGGTGTCTAATTATATAGTAAGGATATTCGTGCTCAGCGTGGTGCTGAGTGTGGGGCTTTGATCGAATTTAAGCAAAGCAGCAGCAGACCTCTGAGAAAGACGCTTTGGAGAATGTAGTTTAGGGCTAGAAGAGTTAACAGTTTCCCAGCACTGAACTCAAGACTTAGACTTGATGACTTTTTACTTTCTCAGCCTCCATATATGAGACTGACCCTGAAAATCTCTAGGGAGAGAACAGAGGTCTGGTTGCCAAAGAAGAAAGAAAGGGGAAAGAACTAACCCCTTGAGAAAGACATCCTTTTCTAAGGAGAAGCCGAGAGATGATACACAAGGTGGGCATCTGTGCCCTAAATTTGATTTGAATGTTAGTGTGTGGTGGCCTCTGGAATTGGAGACAGTCTCATATGTTCCAAGCTGGCCTCAAATTTGTTATGTAGTTGAGAGTTAACATTAAACTCCTGATCCTCCTGCCTCTACCTTCCAGTGCTGCAGTTATGAGATGCACCACCAAGCCTGGTTTATGCAGTGTGGGGGTAGAACACATAGCTTTCTTTGTGTGTGCTAGGGAAGCACTCAGCCAACTGAGCTACATCGCCAGCTCCAAGACTCAAAAATTTAATGATTTCTGAATCATTTTTATCATTTACAGAATTATGGTAACATGTTTTCAAGATGGTGTGTGTAATAGTGAAGAGTATGGTCTTTAAGTTCATACCTCCTAGAAATACAGCTGGTTATGCAGGTGAACTGACAGGGCATCTGTGATTTACCTCAGAATAAACCAGGGACAGAATGGTGTAATTTATAATGCAGCCAGACTGTCTATGTGTGTGTGGAAATCAGGTGATGTATACACAGAGTTCATATTATCTTTAGTATAGTAAAGTTTTAGTCGAAATTGAAACTCTGCTATTAGCTGTAAAACCTCAGCAGGTTCCTCTCAGGTTTCTATTTCCTAATCTGTAGAATGAGAATAATAAAATCTAGTACATAGGACTGTCAAAGTCAGTTAGAATGAGTTATGTCCCATTAGAAAGCATTCAAAATCATTATGTCTTTAGGTAAAAAGATCAAGGCATTGTCTTCCTTGTATACAAATTATATGCTTTTTTATGGGACAGTTGTGTTTGCCTCTGTTTGAGTATGTCTAACACTCTGGATTTTGTTTTCAACAGCTCAGGTGCCTAAAAGGCCAGAGGACCTTCTCCAGCCAGCCACCTTTTGATGGTATCCACATTGTCAGCCATTTGACAGGAGATGACGAATCGCTCCACTCGTCGGATGAAGACTTTATAGACAGTTCCTTACAGGAAAGGGGCATTGCTTTTCCTTCGTGCAGAAAACCGGGCTCGACATCTCTGGGTCCCACTTTGGCAGATGGCAGTGAGAGCGAAACAGAAGACCGTGTGCTGCGAACTCCACAGGGTGACCGCGAGCTCCCAAAGGGACAGCCCCCCCAAAGGGAGTCCTACTCAACCACTGTCTGATCATCACTGTGACAGCTGGAGGTCGTGGGACAGACCACCCTGTGTCCTGTGTACATTTATGTCTGTTTTCACAGCCTCGTATGACCGTCTTTGCCAAATGTTCGCTGAGTTTCCGTTACCACAGTAGACTGGAGTATGCTAGTTGTTGGCAAATGGGTTGTAACAGTATTACAGAATATTAATTTTTCTCATTTAGAAAATACTGCTAGGTTTAATTGTAAGAACCATTTTAAAATTCAGGACTGTGGGAAATTGGATTTTCTTTAAACGAAACTGCTCTTGTGCAATATGTTATCCTCATTGAACAAACTACATTTGTGTTTATCAATTTGTTTCCAAGGTGGCTGTCTCTAGACATCTGACCAAAACATACAGGTGATTGAACTTGTATTTTGAGGTTTTTTTTTTTTTCACTAAAATGGCAGCTCTGTTAGTAGGTCATTGAATATTGTCAAACACAAACAGTTTTTTTCTGTATAATTTCTAAACACAAAGTAATTATTGTCTATTCTGAAAGTTTTTGTTTCAGTTTTATCTGTATCATACTTCTGTGTGTTAGTCAGAATAGTAGCAGGTTAACTACAGATATATTACTTGTACATATTTATAAATCAGTGTCACCCAGCATTGGACATCCTCTGCATGAGGAGCAAATGTTGACAATGACTGCTTTCAGCATTCTAACAGGACTTCTGTAAATAGTAGGTTAAAAGAAAACTAAGTACGGACCGGACACTACTGTTCTAGCAGCTGTAGTAACCTTTACTCGGCATTCCACACTAGCGGACTCGTAACTGATTGCTGTTCAAACACTACTGGTGAAGTCCTTTACTCCATCTGTAACTAATAAACTTCAAGATTAAAGAGGTTCTACCACGTGCTATGTCACGGTAATCTATTTAATATAATTTAGCTCTAGGATAAGTTCCAAGATTGGAAAAATATCTATGAGTATTGTATTTAAATTCTCTAGTTTCTAATTGACAGGTAAAGCCATAAGAACTCTTCTTAGTCCTTTCTTTGTATTATTTAGACTTTTTCTCTAGAAAACTGAATGCTTGTTATTTGTAAACTGAGAAACAGCACTCACCTGTGGAAAGGCTGCCAACGTGTGTTGACTGGGTATTTTCCACCCACATTTTTTGTTAGTAGCCTGAGCCATGGAGGAAAAGAGAATTTAGTATGTATGGAAGTACATTTTTGCACAGAATGTTGCATACATAGAGAAAAATATTTTATGAAATGGAGAAGAAGAAATAGAAGTAGTTTTCTTTCTAAAACTGTGTAACGCCTTACGCTGCATTATGGGCCAGGCTTTCCCAGTGAGGGTCCTAACTGCTCTCTTGCCTGACAGACAGGATTGGAAACATGCCTTCTGTGTCCAGAGCACCCAATTTACCTGTAATTACAAGCTAGTTAATTAAGATATTAATTCAGATCTCTTGCTAGACTTCTAAAGATCTAGCGAATGAGTTTTTCAGTTCCCTGCTCCCTGGCAGTGTTACTTAAATAATTTGCATTTAAATCTGTTTCCTAAGTATCTCCTATAGAGATGGGTGTTCATTAGCAGTCAAGTTTCTCAGTCAGTAAGAGAGGACACAGCACTACCAGAGGCTGGTCCTTTAGGGTTCGCCCTTGTGGTCCAGTACTGTGATTCCAAGAGACTGTCAATAGCCCAGTGAAGTAAGAGGACTTGTGGCCCTGTGCTTTTTTGTTTTTATCTAGACCCTCTCCCTCATCAAGAAACCTCAGTGGGCTAGAAGTATAGCTTGGAAGTTAGAATGCTTACCTAAAATGCCCAAGACCCTGTGTTCAATCCCAAGCACCACCAAAAGACAGACAAGCTCAGGGAATTTTCTAGTACTCTTTCTGGTTTGGAACTAGGTGTAAAAGAACCCTGGTCATTAAACCTTAATTCATTGATGCTCTTGTGATTTGTACAGTGGAAAATTAGAAGCAACATCCAGTCAAGCCAGGTGCAGACCTACAGTCCCAGCTGCTCAGGATGCTTGAGTACAGGACCAGCCTGGGTAACATCGTAAGACTCTGTCTCAAAAACTTTTTTAATTCATGTACACCTTAGACATAAATCTTTCTGGGTTCAGTAGGATGTTGTGCCTCAATCTGACTCCATTTCATTCAAATTAATATAAGTATATTGTTTAAGACTTTGAAGCATTGGACTGTGTCCTACTGATGAATTTATTTCATTGAAGGAAGTTTTGTGGGAGTAAATGGGATGACAGATGATGGAAAACCTTGCTTTCTTGGGATAGTGACCTTCCTGGTACCCTTACCACTCCAGGTGACACTAAAAGACAAGACTGTAAGCCCAGACATGAGGATCAAGAAAGACTCCATCAGACTTACTTTCCTAGTACTGGGGTTGGAACCCAGGGCCTTACACAGGGTGGGCAAGCTCTCTGCCACTGAGCCACACCCAAGTCTGACTTCTTCAAAATCAATGTATACATTTTCTTTATGGAAAATGAGGCCAAAGAGATTGTTTTATACAACTTCTACTCTGGTTTTTGTTTGGATTTTTTTTTTTTTTTTTTGGCCCGTTGGCAGCCCCTCGGCATTCGCTGATTGATTGAAACATCATATTCCAGCTAACTGGCCATTTATGTTTTAAAAAAAATCCCAAACCTTTCTCAGCCTTGAACACAATGCAGCTTGTTGATTTCCAGGCAGTGCCTTTGATTGAAAATAACGTCTGCTTTTGAAGTATGTTATTCCTGGCATCACAAAAAGTCATCTGGTTCCCCATTCACCATTTGCATAATGCACTATAATATTCAAATTTTTAAAAATTAAGGATATCAATTATGTTTTGTTAAGCTTTTCATGGCTAGCGTGGTTATCACATAGTACCAAGTCATTGATGACCAGCATTTGTAGAATCAGTAGTTTCCTTTCTAAAGCAGTGAGTTTTAGCCTGAAGGTTTTTGCTGCTCTAGATTAGCAAGCAATTATAATTTAAAATTAATTTCTTTTTAATTCTGAAATTAGTTAAAATTTCTGATTGAAAGTAGGGTAGATGCTATTTAAAATTCAGATTTTTACATTACATCCATAGATCTGCATACCTCTTCACTTCAGAGAAGAGATAACACAGTAATACAGTGGATGTGCAAAGTGTGTTTCATTGAACTGTTGGATTTTTTATTGTAGCACTGTATGATAACCTAAAAATGTTTACTTGTGCCTTTGCTTTAAACAATTAAAGTTTCTCATTTTACAAGACTTTATTTCCTTAAATTATTAACTTTAAGAGGGAAGGGGGGTCAGAGGACTATTGAAGAACATTTGGCCACAGAGAAGATTTGCACTGCTGAGGTCTGTGCTCCCCAGTGAGAGTGTCGCATCCACCTGCTCCACACACAGAGTAACACGCAGTCTGGATGAGTCTGACATCCAGTAGATGTTTTCAGTTTCATAGACAGCCAGATGTCTAGACTTGTTTCCTTCCTGAACATGCTATTTGTTTTAATTATCAGTGGCAGTATTTTCATCACAAATGTAGTTCAGGTTATTGAAGGCATTACCAATGAGTTCAGTAATACATTAAAAAATGTGTGTTTTAGATATCACGTCGAGGCTATTGCAGAATGAGCTTTGTGACTTCTGCAGTGTTACTGCCTGTTAGTTTCGTTAATTCAGAAGCAGCGATGCACTGTTCTGGCCCTTCATGAAGATACATGAAGTTTACAAGAGCTATAATCCAGGCTTCTCTACCTTGGAACTGTTAGCATTTGGACATCCTGCATACTGTAAGATGTTTGCAGGATTCGCAGCCTCTACCCACTACATGCCAGTAGCTCCCATGCCTTCAATTGAGGCAAAATATCTCCAGGTGTGGGGAGTAGAGAAAGCCCTAAGTGAGTGAAGTACCGAGTGAATGTGTGCTGTTGACATGGGCACAACCTTGTTAAGGACCTAAAGTACCCCAAACCATCAGACCCATAAGAAAAAGGCAGAACTTCCTCTGTGGTGTGAGGCTCAGAGAAGTGGCAAAATCTTTCTCCGGCTCCAAGTGTGGATACTGACAGCGTATACAGAAAACATCCACCATAGCCTTCTCCCCCCAGTTGTTTACGGCCTCAGATGGCTTCCTTACAGAGACTGTCCCTAAACCTGTTCTTTGATCTGTCTGTGTGTCATAGACCATGCCTCCTTCATCTGTATGTAACAACCCCGCCCCTCTGTTCAACTGTGTATCGTAAACATGCTGAGCTTCCAGGGTGCTGAGGTTTCTCCATCAGAGAGCTCAGTCCACTAGGCCCAGCTTTTCTGTGTTTGTCTTTTTCTTCATTTTCTTACCACCCAGTCAGGTCTGTCCCTGGAACCAGATCAAGGATGTGGCTTCCAGACATTGTCACAAAGAAGACAGAATGAAGTCACTCTATGGTCGAGAAATGCTTAGAAATTTAGAATATGAAGAAAATCAGTGGACTCCAGTATAAGAACATAGGTACGCCTTGAAGACACAGGGAAAATTTGAATCTATTTTTAGTAGTCAGTGATAAAGAAAATGTGAACCACAATAGGTACAATTTCACATCTGTTAGGACGGCTATCCAAAAAGAAAAAGAGGTAGGCATGGAGGCATGTACCAGCCCCAGCTCTCAGGGTTCTGAGGCGGGAAGATTGTTCCAGCCCAGAAATTTGAGACAAACTGGGTAACTTAGGCAAACCCCTCCTTTGAAAAAAGAAAAAGAAGAAAGGGAAAATAACTAAAAGGTTGGCAGTGGTGTAGAAAAATTGGAGCCTGTGAGTCATTCCTGGAATGACTGTGGAGACCAGTTCGGTACTTTTGGAAAGAGTTCAATAGTGTTACTCTGCAACCCAGCAATGCTAGACAGGTACTTGGAGCAGGGACTCAGATACTTAAGTCCACAGCAGGAGCATCCAGAGGCAAAACGGTAACAGCAACTGCTCTCAACAGCTGAATGAAGGTTGGGTGTGCACGATATATGCCTACAAGGGAACTGTATCCATAAAAAATGATACATAGACAGTAAGAGATGGGCCTTAAAAACATTGTAGTGAAGTATCCAGTGACACCTAGTCCTTTTGGAGTAGACACTGTACTAGGTGATGGGATAGCCCAGGAGGTTATTATCTAGTGGCTGCATAGCTGCTTTTTCTAATGACAAAACGTCCTGTAAGTGCGTAATGCTGATGCTTGTACAGGCTTGAATGTGCCTATTTGGGTTTGTATGTGAAATTCTCCCTCCCCAGGCTTGTGTGTTTGAACACTTGGTCCCTGGGTAATGGTACCATTTTAGAAAATAGTATAACCTATATGTAGTGGGTCCTTACTTGAGGAAGCTGAGAGGTGGGACTTGAGGATTAGAGCTGGTGTCCTATCTAATCTTGATCCACCAAAATGTGAAGAAGTCACCAGCCACACTTCTGCCTCAGTGGACTAATCTGCTCTCATTGTGAGCCTAATACACACTACCTCCCTTGAGTTGCTTATTTAGGGGTATTTTGGTCACAACAATGTGTAAGTATTAAATACAGAAATTTGGCACCAAGAAATGAGGTCATTGCTGAGATGAACATGATCATGTGACTTTTAGGCCTTTGGGACTTATTTACAGGAAGAACATAAGCAAAATTGGAGCTGCAGGGTAAAATACTGTAAGCAGAGCCTGATGGCCATGGTGGGAGCACTTAAGATCAGCATGCAAATAAAAACGTGAACAGGAATGGTCTGCCAGGCTTGAGGCTTCAGAGGGGAGCAAAGACTCTTAGCCAGGACTGAACTAGAGGCCATTCATGTGACAGGCTGGAGCAGAACAGGGTCACATGCCGCCGTGTTCTGAATGGGTGAGGCTGAACTGAACTTAATGGCTAAATTGTTGTCTGGGGAATCTCAAGGCAGCATAGGGTTCAGGCTGTGGCGTGGTTTTTGCTCACTCCTTTTAGCCAGATTGACACGGGGAAAGAAGTATCACAATGTGGAAAATGGGCAGTTTTGTTCAAAAGGAGTGTGAACCCAATAGCAGACGAGGCAACTGTGGGCGAAGCTGTAAGTTCTAAAAAGACGTTGCAGGGCCAATGGAAATGGTGTCTTGGGGACAAGACTTCACCAGTGGAAGGTATGAAGAGTACAATAGTATAAACCCATTTTTAAAATTTCTATTTAGAAAGAGTGCCTGAGAAGACAGCCTCCAAAATGCCCTGCTCCAGCATTGCCACCGAGAGAAATCTGTTACCTACTTCAGCTGCACAGTTTCTTAAAGGCTACTGCAATTATGGCCCAAGGAGGCCAGGCACCACCTCAGACTCTCAGGAGAGCTTGTTGTCATCCTCACAGTGCTGGATTTGCAGGTTTGCAGATTGCAAGAGTGATGGGATAATGGAGATTGTGTCTTGGTTCCACAGAAGCAGCTGGGTAGTATGTAGTAGGGATGGCCTTACAGTGACAATTTACCAGGCTGTGCAGGGGAAGGGTAAGTTTCAGTGGCGATAACGGGACAGTGGAGATGTTGAGGGACGCTATATGCACCAAATGGAGGTAGCTCAAGAGTTAGAGGCACCTGTACTTCAGGCTGTAGGACAGTGGGGTGAGGGCTATCCCTAAGCTCTCAGAACCCATATGATGCCACCAAATCCAAGATACTAGACACAGAGGTTTGTTATTTGCCCTGCAAAGTCCTGGTCTTGCTTTGTCAAATCTTTCCTTGCTGTGTTTCCATCTCCCTATCTTGGAATGAGAATGTTACATCATGCCATTGTGTGTCGGAAGTATGCAATTTGTTCTAACAGTGGCTCAGAGCTAAGAAAAAGATTATCTTAGGTCTCAGAACAGACTTTGGATTTGGAACAGTGTTGGAGTTAGTACTTCAGGGAATTTTACCAATAAGTAGTGGCACATCCCTGTAATTTCAGTAGAGGCAGGAGGACCAATGCAAGTTCAAGGCCAGCCTGGTTTATGTAGTAAGTCTCAGGTCAGCCAAGGCTATGTAGGGAAACCTTGTCTTGGGGCGGGGCTGGTGCGGGGAGAATACTGCAGGGATCTTAAAAGTTAAGTTGAATGTACTTTTCTTTAAGAGATGACCATGAGCCTTTGGAGGCCAGAGGCCAAACATTACAATTTGGATATGAAAATGTACCCCATGGGCTCACACGTTTGAACACTTGATTCTCAGCTGGTGGTGTTGACCTTAGTCACCTTCCTTCACTACCGTGAGCTGTACCTTCTCACACTGTGAGCCAGAATGATCCAAATGCCAGGTGTGTTTAGAATGTAAAGTCAGCTTATAAATGAAAGACATTTAGAAGGAAAAATAAAACCCGAAGTTACAAAATTTACAGTGCTCATAAAATTTTAAAAATGATTAGATGAGCCAGGCATAACAGCACATCAGTAATCCCAGCATTCTGGAAGTGGAGACAGATCAACAGTTCAAGGGCACACTCAGCTACATGGCGAGTTTAACGCGGCCTGGGCTACATGAGCCTTTGCCTTAACAACAACGGTAATAATTTGGCATAGAATTCAGGCACTAACTGGTGCTTAGGTTTTGTGTTGGTTGAACCTGAACAAATCTCAGAAGAGTGTGTGCGTGTGTGTGTGTGTGTGTGTGTGTGTGTGTGTGTGTGTGTGCATCTGATGTGCACTTGGAAGAAAGAGGATCACAGGTTTGCTGTGGGTTGATCTTTCTGTATGCTGTGAATATGTGTTGTTCCTATTGGTTAATACATAAAGCTGCTTTGGTCTATGGCAAAGCATGATAAGAGCCAGGCAGGAAATCCAAGCAGAGATACAGGGAGAAGAAGGGCAGAGTCAGGGAGAGACCATCCAGCCACCCAAGAACCAAGACACCAGCAGACAGGTAACACCACCGCTACATGGCAAAATATTGATGAATAGAAATGGGCTAATTTGCCGGGCGGCGGTGGCGCACTCCTTTAATCCCAGCACTCTTTGGGAGGCAGAGCCAGGCGGATCTCTGTGAGTTCGAGGCCAGCCTGGTCTACAAAGTGAGTTCCAGGAAAGGCGCAAAACTACACAGAGAAACCCTGTCTTGAAAACCAAAAAAAAAAAAAAAAAAAAAAAAGCAAGAAATGGGCTAATTTAAAATGTAAGAGCTAGCTAGCAATAAGCCTGGGCCATAGACCAAACAGTTTCTAATTCATATTAAGCCTCTGAGTGATTATTTTATAAGCAGCTGCAGGACTGTGGGGCTGGGCAGGACAGAGAAAGACTTCAGGCTACACAGGTTCAAAGT